AAAATAAACCGGATGTGGGACAGCAGTTAGCGTAGTGGTTATGTTGCTGGATTCCCATGTAGTCGACCTAGGTTCAAGTCCCGGACCTGGTGACTTAAAACTCACGCTGGGCACGTGTGTGTGCGTGCCCAAGATCCAGAGAGGAGAACGGAGAAGGGATTGCGGTGTGGCCATCCCCCTGGGGGGTGATTTTTCGCTTTCTGTCTTTCTGTCTCTCTCTGTCTTTCTGGCAAGCGCACGCGCCCTATAGCAAAAACCTCTCAAAAAAAAAAAGAGAGAGAGAGATAAATAAATAAATAAATAAACTGGATGGTGGGACAGCAGCAAGATGCAGTGTCCCCATGATCTAGGGCTGGCTGGGGCTGGGGAGGATTGTGGCATCAACACCCTGTTGGGTGTTATCGATCTCTCTGTTTCTGTAGGTTACAGAAGAAATAAAGTTAAAAAAAAAAGTGCTCTGAAGGAAAAAGTGCTATGGAGATTAGGACTGCAGGATTCTCTTCTTAAGGAACTAAACAAGCAACTAAACAATAGTCATCATAATAATTTTTAAAATTTGACCTGAGAGAGTCAGAGAGAGGGAAAGTGAGAAAGCACCAGGTCTGAGATTCAAACCACAATCGGCCATGTGGCAGTCCAGTGCCTCAACCTCTGTGCCACCTGCCAGCTCCCAGGAACTAAACAATTTTTCTTGTGAGATAAAGCCACAAACAGATGAAAACACTTGATACTTAAATAGCTGTATATATATATATATATTTTTTTTTTTTTTCTCTTTTTCAGATTTTTGTTATAGGGCATGTGTGCTCGCCCAGAGAGACAGGAAGCAAGAAGTCACCCACCAGGGGGATGGCCCTGCTGCAGTCCCTTCTCCTCTGTTCTCTTGGGATTTTGGGGCACGTACATACACATGCCTGACGTGCTGCCGGATCTGGGACTCGAATCATAGTCGACTATGTGGGAGTGAAACCGCAACCACTATACCACTTGCTGGTCCCAAAATAGCTATGTATAAACAACAGAGATATAATCTGAGTATAAATGTTGAATAAAGAATTATCAAGTTAGATTATAGTTAATCAGTACAAATTTCCTAACACGTACATACACATGCCTGACGTGCTGCCGGATCTGGGACTCGAATCATAGTCGACTATGTGGGAGTGAAACCGCAACCACTATACCACTTGCTGGTCCCAAAATAGCTATGTATAAACAACAGAGATATAATCTGAGTATAAATGTTGAATAAAGAATTATCAAGTTAGATTATAGTTAATCAGTACAAATTTCCTAATGATTATGAATGAAGATATGTGTGTGTTCATTTTTGAAATTTTTTTTTTTTTTGGAGAGAGTTTTTGCTACAGGATGTGTGCGCTCGCCAGACAGACAGAGAGAGACAGAAAGTGAGAAATCACCCCCCAGGGGGGATGGCCACACCACAATCCCTTCTCCTCCATTCTCCTCCCGGCATCTTGGGCATGCACGCACACGCGCCCGGTGTGAGTTTTAAGCCACCGGGTCCAGGACATGAACTGTGGTCGACTATGTGAGAGTCCAGCGACATAGCCATTATGCTAACTGCTGGTCCCTATTTTTGAAAAACTTTTGACAAAAGATGCTCATTTGGTTTGAAAAACTAAAACATTATGGAGGGACCAGCAGATGGTGAAATGGTTAAGTTCCTCGATTCCCACATAGTTGACTGCGGTTTGAGTCCTGGCCTCATGAGCGTGCATGCCCAAAATCCTGAGAGGAGAATGGAGGAGAAGGGATTGAGGTGTGGTCATGCTCTCTTGGGGTGATGTCTCACTTTCTGTCTCTCTCTCTCTGGCAAGTGTAGTACACGTGCCCTATAGATAAGATTTTTCTTTTTTTAAAAATTTTATTTAGTCATTCATTTATTTTAATTTGATGAGAGAGAAAGAAAAGCAAGCCTCCAGGTCTAGGATTTGACCCATGATCGGCCATGTGGGAGTGTCCAATGCCTTAACCACCATGCCATCTGCTGGTCCCAAGATTTTTCTTTTTAAGGAGAGATTTTTACTGTAAGATTTTTATTCTGCGCTGGCCAGAGGGACAGAAAGTGAGAAATTAGCCCCAAGAGAGGCTGGCCACACTGCAGTCCCTTCTCCTCCATTCTCTTCTTAGGATTTTGGGCATGCACACACATGTGCCCCATGTGATTTTTTTTTTTTTTGAGAGGTTTTCGCTATAGGGCACGTGTGCT